TCACTGAATTCAATGATGAACAGCCTTTAACTGAAAATTTAGTATTTACTATTGTCACTTTGCATTATTGACACTATTTTCGTATTTAATGCTGTACAGTTGCTTTGACACAATATGTATTGTTAAAAGCGCTATGTAAATAAAGGTTACTTGATTTGACTGCAAAAAGTAGGCCTATTGAATAAAAGGGTATCATTAATTGTGGCCAACGTGTATTAGTGAAGAAGAAAAAAAAACATTTATTCCATAATAAGATTTTCCTCCCATTTTAAGTTCTTACTCTCCAATTAAAGGCTAGCTTTTTGTAATTAAAAAAAAAAAAAAAAAGATCAAAAGGATTAACCTTTTCACAGGTTTCCTTGTTCTCTATATGTAATAAACTCTATATGTAATAAATTTTCATGTGAACTGGACTAACAGTGAATGCTTTGTTTCTAATTAAGCTGCAGCACTTGTTTTAGAGTCATGTTTACCTCAACAGTGATGTTCGCCTTGACCTGCTCGACTCCTGCTTCTTCCCACATTTAGCTCAACTTCCTACCAGATAGCAGGCTTCTGTTTGTACATAGTGTCCAGCAGCATACTCTAAACTGCATTAGTATGCAATCAAATGCACTTAAAGAAAATGCATCTTTTCTACCTACTGTACGTGAAGAAAGCAAGACTATTTTTCTCCCATGGTTTCATTCTTGCAAAGTCTGCATTTACTCTGATATTTTGTGACTGATCATAAGCAACAAGGAAACAGGATTAGCCTACTAGGCAGGCCAGAAAAGAAGAACCCTCTCTTCTTTTCTTAAATGTGAAAAAAACACTAAAAAAGACACATCCATGCTTGTTAAGCACTAAGACTTGAGAAAACCAGCAGCACCTCTCCATTGTACCATAACCTCCATAACCTTCAGACACTTTCCTCCACTCTGTGCTAATGACACCAATAATTAGCACATTGTTCTGCCTTTCCTGTAATGCTGTGAAAGACAAAGGAAAGACGACAAACTTCACAAAGTGCAAAGCTAAGTCTGACTGATTAATGAATGGCTTAAAGGAGTAGTTCTCTTCAAACTGAAAAAGATAAACCAACAGAAGACTATGATAAGTAGTTCATGAAGCCACACAATGGCTTTATGTAAGAAACAGACCTAGATTTAAGTTTAAAACTAGAAAATTAGCTGTTAATGTGTTAGTTTATTGTTATGTTTAACTAATTTAAACATGAATCAATTTTTTAGACTTTTCTATCTAAAAAAGCATGGCAGCACATTAGGTTTGCAAATTTGCATCTGAACAAACCATAAGTCTTCTAGAACAATGTTCTTTGAACAGACAAGACCAAAGTGGAGATGTTTGGCCATAATGCACAATGCCACGTTTGGCGAAAACCTAAAGAGCATATCAGCACAAACACCTCATACCAAAAGTCAAGCATGTTGGAGGAGGGCTGATGATTTTGGGGTTGTTTAGTAGCCACAGGACCTGGGCACCTCCCAGTCATTGAGTCAACCATGAACTCCTCTGTATCCCAAAGTATTCTAGAGTCAAATGTAAGGACATAATCCGACAGCTAAAGTTGGGCCAAAATTGGGTCATGCAACAGGACAATGATCCCAAGCACACCAGCAAATCTACAACAGAATGACTGAAAGTGGAGTCAGCAGCTGAAGACATGTTGGGTGAGAAGATAGAGGATTCTGGGAGAAGTATTAGGGTGGGATGAATAAGGACTCTAGTCACAATGAGAGGATGGTCCTGTCTCTATCTGGAGGGGTGGGTCTTCTTAGACATGGGACAAAGGAACAGGAGAAGAGGTCAAGGTGAGATAGATGTCCTGTCCACGGGAAGATGACAAACAGTCATTGTGCTTGTAGACCCATCCTTCATAATGACAGAGATAACAGAATCCACTATTAAATCACAAAGCTCTTCCACAAACTGTGACAATGACTGGGTGTACGTCTGTGGCTTTTTCGTTAAATACGTTTCTCTCTACCAATGGACATGGTTTTCACTCTGGTTGTTCTTCTACAAGCTGTGACTACAGCACAGGCCATCGGTAAGCACGTATTGTTTTATATGTACACTGCTTATTATTATTAAGTGCTTATTCTCTGAGTTTCATTCTAAATGACACTGCCAACCAGTTTTCCATTTTCCAGTTTTTCAAATGACTGTAATCAGCATATTGCTATATAGTGCTATATATTTGGCATTTTTGTAGGGCATGCTTACTTGTGCAAAAGTCACATCACTGTTTTCTCCAGAGCTGCTTTATAGATTAACCCCATTCCACAATTGATGGACTTTACAGTTATTGAACTAACATGAATCAACAATGAACTGATTTCAACTGAATCATGACAAGAGTGTTCTGAGTGGTTTTTGTGTGTTGATACAGTATGTGGTGGCTAAGAGGTAAAGCCAAAATGTTCTTACTTGGCCCATCCCTAAGTGTTTTTGATGTTTTACTTGTATGACTTTCTTCTGCTGAATACAAAAGAAGAAATTTGAAGAAGTGTGGTTACCATCGACTACTATTGCATGGAAAAAAAAAAAAAAGAGGGACATTTCAAATGATCTTGTTCCACAGAAGAAAGGCAAACAGGGTTGGCATAACATGAGGGTAAGTAAATGATGACAGGATTGTCATTTATGGGGTGAACTAAGCCTTTAAGATTTGAAAAAGATTCCTAATTAAAATTACCATGGTTACCAAACAAGATTCTGAGTCATATGTTTCTGTAATACAGCTGCTGGTCTCTAGATATGATTCATGTTCTTCAATGTAAGTTCATGCAAATCCTGAATCAGGTCACTTAGCGGACATCTGCTTATTAAAGGGGTCATATGATGCTTTTTTAAAGATCATTATTTTGTGTATTTGGTGTAACAGAATATGTTGACATGCTTTAATGTTTCAAATACTGTACATTATTGTAGGTCCTCTATGCCCCGCCTCTCTCAAACGCTTCTTGAACTATCAATTATAATTATACCATAAATGATGCAGGAATAATATTGTGTAACATCCAAATTAATGTTATTACTTAATCATAGTGGTAGAGATAAAGGTAAAGATGGTGTTATTTTTTAGTTAAAAATGTGTTATTTTTTAGTTAAACATCTCTGGAGTCAATGCTTTTGGCTCAGTATTCTATTCTATTCTATTCTAACCACATTTTAATCATTAATCAAAACATCTTTATTTAGAAACATTCTCCATTTGAGCTCATACACCATTTGTTTCAATACCAAAAGATGCCCAAGAAATAAGCAATATTTGGAGTGAACAAAAAAAATGTTTCTGGGTATGGATATGCAGCAGATGTGAAAGATGAGAATTTATTGTAACAGTGTCCAAGAATGCTGTGTTTACCGCAAACAGTCATGACCTGAACATCCATTTATCCTTGACCTCCGGCTGTTCTTGTATCAACTGAACATCCCTAGGAGACAGACCTATCTAGAGTCTGCCTGTGCTGATAGTACTACCCTCTAATATTAATTATAATATTAAGACATGTCTGTGGGTGTGAAAGTGCTGTTTTCAAAGGCACTGCTACAAAGTGTTTGTGATTTGGAAAATTCTAAAATTCAGATGATTACACATGAATATTATGGCAAATCATGCAACTCAGAGGAGATGTGTGAATACTTTTCTAAGTGATCAGATGATATTCTGATATTCTGGAAACCAGAATATCAGAAACTGGGTGGGCTCTTTTCATTTGGGTCAGTAAGCAATCACATAGCAACCATTCAGAACACCCTGGTTACAGCATAGCAAAAAGCCAAAACAACAAACACTCTTAGTAAACAAAAAGCAACACCTTAGCATAATGGTGGTTGGTTTTGCATAGACAAGCACTGCTTACATTTCCTTCAGAAAATGTAAAAGTCACATTTAAATGCATTGTGTCAGGGTTTTGAGAAGGCAAATATCAATCCACTTGAAGGTTTGTGTTTTTGCACAAAACCCTGACCCCTGTTGTGATGATTTGGAATTAGATATGGTCAGTGAGAGTTGATTCTATAACTCAGTGATCCTCAAATCTGGCTCGCGAGATCCACTTTCCTACAGAGTTTATCTCTAACCCTAATCAAACACACCTGAGTTTGCTAATCAATGTCTTCAGGATCATTGGAAAAACACAGGTAGGTTTGTTTGATTAGGGTTGGAGCTAAACTCTGCAGGAAAGTGGATCTCGTGAGCCAGATTTGAGGATCACTGCTATAACTGCACGACAGGGCAAATTTACCACAAGCCAGGGCACAGTGTGTTGTCTGTGGCTTTGATTTTTGTTTTATCTAAGGTGATAATTTACTGTGGAAAGGATTCTCCCTCTATGCCTCATCAAGCTGCTGCCGCTTCCTGACGAATGGTCTTTCACGCCTTATGCTGCAT